CTGCCTTGTCTGGCTGGCTGGAGCGTGGGGATTGGGCGCGCCGCTTGCTCTAGCCCAAGTTCATTGATCAGACTTGTGGGCAAACTTTTCTTAAAGGAGCCGCGTCCTTTTTTCCCGCCTTTCGGCCATCGCCGAGTCCGAGCGCGGTCTCCTGGGCTGCGGGTCCTGTGGGAGATAGGAGGCTGGTCTGAAAAGGAGAGTCGCCTGGAGAAACCCTCTCATGGGTAGACGGGCTTCAAAGTGCTGCTTGGAAGGGAAGCTTCCTCAGGTCACGGCCCGGCCCGGCCCGGCAGAGCCCCTTTGGGTTGGGGGCGGGGATCGGGGCTGTGCTGGGCTTTGAGGCTCTGTTAGCCCTTGCTCTGGGCTTTGTTTACATTGAGTTTCAGACTCTGGATACGCTCTCTGGAGGGGGCAGTGGAGGGGCGAGGCGTAGCATTTTTAGCCTCTGGATGCACCAGGTAATGATCTCATGGGCTCTTAGAACTAGGCGTGATCCTTTGTACAGCCTGGTAAGAGTGTTAGAGGTGCTGTGACGCCAGGCTGCTCCTGACAAGGGTAAGCAGCACTTAAGCACTTTATATCCAGCATAGTATCCTCAAAGAGCTCTGCAAACATGAGCTAATCCTTGCAACACCTCTGTGAAATAGGTAAATACCCTCTTCTTGATATCAAAGGAGAAACTGAGGCATGGCACAACTTGCCCAAGACCACACAGTGACTCACCATCCCAGCTGCTGTAGCACTTGAGCTCCTGTTGCTCCCTTGCCTGCGTAGTCCTATGGCCATTATTCTGCCTATCTGGTATTGCCTATCCCCCAGCATTGTCCTTTGTGTCCCCAGGAATGGGTCCAACCAAAATTGGCCGGTATTGTCTGATTATTGACTTGTATTCTGTGTCTGTCTGTCTCAGACTGTTGTCCCTTGACTTGTACTTGGATTTTAAGTCAGGATTGTCTCTTTTCTGTGTTTGTATAGCACCTGGTGCAACAGGGTCCTGGTTCACTAATAAGCTGTCTGATAACACTATTAATAATAATGATTTTCACCCAACTATACTGCTGGGATACTGCCACAGTCTGTGTTGTGTGTCTGTGGTGTACAACCTCCTTCCCAAGGAAATTATCAATACATCTTTCACTCCTTTGCAATTCCGCTTGCCTGTTTGCCATCAAGGCTCCCTGTTTTAACTGAACCCCAATTCCCCAGGGCTTTCTCTCTCCTCTCTATATGTTTAGATGCAGCTGTAGCTCTAATTTGGTGATGGTATCAGTTTGCAGAATTAATTTGACAGCCTGCCTATCTAAGACTGCCCTAGTAGCTTTCTGGTTTTTTTTGCACTCCCTCCTCTGGGGAGCCCTTGTGTCTTGGTTAAGACCCTTCATTTGAGAAGGCACACAGACCAAGGGAGCAGGCTCCCTGGTGTGATTTTCCTGAGTTTGAGGCTTTTCTAGGGAAAGTGAGGAATTGCACATATATCATCTGTAGAGCCCTGCATGGATCCAGAACAAAGATCCACAGATAACTGCATCCATGAGTATGGATACCTGCAGGTATAAAGTGAGTATCCATGGATTTGCAGGGCTCTCTAATCATCTGCCTCTTTTGCCTGAAGATCACTGCAGGATCAGAGATTCTGCCAGGCATGAGATGCAGATGGAAACTACTCTGGCTTATTCTGTGTGGTGTCCAACCCAGCCCCCTGTTAGCTGTAAATCTGGATGCACCAAGCCTGCATTCTTGCTTAAACAATCTGTTAAATACAGTACAGCCTTTGGGAGTATGAGTAACAAGGAAAGTTATTTGGATGCTGCCTGTATGTCACTGGAATTCCAAGTCCTCTATGTAAAGTGAGGGATCTGACTACTTGAGGTGGATTCTGGATTGCCCTCCTCCAAGATGCTCATACACCCACACAGTGAAGAGTATAGGATGGCAATAGGCCTGTCCGGCTGATTATTCTACTGCAGGTGCCATCTTAAAAGCCACAGAGAGAAGGCTGTAGAAACTTGCTCTCTGTGCTCCCCTTTCTTGGCATGCTCCATCATAATGCTGCTAGTCAGCTGTGGAAGGCAGTATGGTGCAGTGGGGATAACAGGACCCTGAAAGTTAAAAGAGCAGAGTTTGGAAGCATGGTACATTGTGTCCTGGATACAGAGACACAAATTCATTGTGTCCTCCACTGAAATCAAAACTTTGGGGGCTGTTAAGTGAACAACAAGAGATGAGTCCGGTGAGCTCCCTATCTGTAGCGGAGGCTGGGGGCCTGTTTGTGTTCTCTATTGTGGCCTTAGGTTGCAATTGGAAGTGGGGGAATGACTGAGGGAGGAGAGGAAGCTCCCTGAATTTGATGGCTATAGATCTGACACTTAAGACCAGAGTGACTAAACTACTGCCTTTTGTTCTTTTTGCAGAAGGAAAATAAAGAGAAGCTGTCTGTGTGCAGCAAACTGTGCTATGCGGTTGGTGGTGCTCCCTACCAGATCACTGGCAGTGCTCTTGGCTTTTTCCTGCAGATCTATCTGTTGGATGTGGCACAGGTAATTCTTTCAGCCACGCTTGCCTGCCTGGGGCTGAGTAGTTAGGATAAGGGGGCTCCAGGAACGCCTCTGCATCATGCAGTCATGAGATTATCTTGATCCATGTACTTATAGAATCATAGAATAATAGGACTGGAAGGGACCTCGAGAGGTCATCGAGTCCAGCCCCCCGCCCTCAAGGCAGGACCAAGCTCCACCTACACCATCCCTGACAGATGTCTATCTAACCTGTTCTTAAATATCTCCAGAGAGGGAGATTCCACCACCTCCCTTGGCAATTTATTCCAATATTTGACCACCCTGACAGTTAGGAATTTTTTCCTAATGTCCAATCTAAACCTCCCCTGCTGCACTTTAAGCCCATTACTCCTTGTCCTGTCCTCAGAAACCAAGAGGAACAAATTTTCGCCTTCCTCCTTGTGACACCCTTTTAGATATTTGAAAACCGCTATCATGTCCCCCCTTAATCTTCTTTTTTCCAAACTAAACAAGCCCAGTTCATGAAGCCTGGCTTCATAGGTCATGTTCTCTAGACCTTTAATCATTCTTGTCGCTCTTCTCTGTACCCTTTCCAATTTCTCCACATCTTTCTTGAAATGTGGTGCCCAGAACTGGACACAGTACTCCAGCTGAGGCCTAACTAGTGCAGAGTAGAGCGGCAGAATGACTTCACGAGTTTTGCTTACAACACACCTGTTGATACATAGCTGTTGGGATCCAGTCCTCTTATGTAGCTATTTTTAGTCTGTCTTGATCTAGGGATGAGGAAAAATGTGGGGCTTAAAGCTCATGTAGTCTGTCAGCAGAAGCAATGGATAGAGATTGGGGGGGGTCAGAGGAGAGACTGTATCCCTGATGGATTTTTCTACTTGCCCAGAAGTAGGGATGTAAACGACTAGTTGACTGCCTGATAAACATATGCTTATCAGGTAGTCGAGTAGTCACTCAACTAGTTGCCTCTCCTCTCCCCTCTGCCCCCCCCCCAAAAAAAAAACCTTGCTGCCTCTATCAGAGAGAGGCAGCAAGAGACAGGAGCAGGAACTAGTTCCCCCAGCACCGTCTCTGAGGAGGGCAAGGGAGGCAGAGGGATCCCTACTGCAGCTCTTGTACATTCAAAAGGAGGCGTGCAGCAGGATAGCGAGTGCCTCCCATTTTGACTAATGGAGTCGTTGATGGAAATTCTATCGATTAGCTGATTAATCGAAATTTAACATCCCTACCCAGCAGACCAACTTCCCTGTGTGGAACAGCTGCCATATGAGGAGAGATTTATAAACAGGAGTGCGAGGGGGGGGGGGGGGGGGAGGAAATATGATAGAGGTCTATAAAATCATGCCTGGTGTGGAGAAAGTAAATTAAGAAAAAAGTTATCTACTCCTCCCATAACAAAAGGAGGGGGGAAGGGTTACCAAATGAAATTAATAGGCAGCAGGTATAAAAGAAAAGGAAGTATTTCCCCTTACAACACAGTTACCCTGTGGAACTTCTTGCCAAAGGATGCTGTAAAGAGCCCCTTCCCACAACAGTATCTTTCCTTGTTGCATAAAGGAGTCTTAGGATGACTCTTACAAGTCCTAGATGAGCCCTGGTTACCCTGCCAGACAGTGGCGTGTCCTGTTCAGATGGGCTTTTAGTGGCGAGGACTGCTGGAAACTAAATAAAGGGACTCTTCACACATGGGTGCCTAAAGTGAACCAGCAAAATACAGGACTATGTAGCACTTTAAAGACTAACAAGATGATTTATTAGATGATGAGCTTTCGTGGGCCAGACCCACTTCCTCAGATCAAATGTTGTGACTATTTTCTTCCACTATTTGATCTGAGGAAGTGGGTCTGGCCCATGAAAGCTCATCATCTAATAAACCATCTTGTTAGTCTTTAAAGTGCTACATAGTCCTGTATTTTGCTTCTGCTACACCAGACTAACACGGCTACATTTCTATCACTAAAGTGAACCATAGCACCCTCATTTCACACCAAGACTGAAGCAGCTGAGGACTGGGGGAGGTCCGTGTTGCAGAGAAATGAAGGCTCACTGAATGCAATCAAGGGTTCAGTGCCCTTGGAAAATGTGACCTGAATTCAGGTGCTAGCATATGGATTTAGGTGTCTAACTTAAAGCATTCAAGTAAAAAATTTTGCTCCAAGTTTGTAAAATACTGCCTCCAGGTAAAAAGGAAGCATGGATCAGATTGGAGTGATTTATTCAGAGTGCTTAGAGCTGGGTTTATACTAGCTACCACTGCAAAATACTGTCTCCTGTGATTTTATTTCCAGTTTTACAACCTCTGTACTGTGTGACCTTGTGCAGTGCTGTGCCTTGGTTTGGCCACCTGTAAAATCGGATACTGACCCATCATTCTGGGTTTTGAGATCTCTAATGACCTCTATTATATGCATGTAAAGTAGGAGTTCTGGGTGTAAGTGCTCTTCTGCTCCTGGTGCTGCTGGGGGCCTAGGGCTGGGATTGGTACCTGCAGAGAGTTGTGTTCTTTCCTACTGATCTTGTGATGGAGGGTGTGGCTGGGGAAGGGAGCTGTTGCTGGCCGTACTTGTGGCATGTTCCAGAAATAGCTAGGAGGGAAAAAAATCTCCAAATGGGATTGCAAGAAGACCTGGGAAGCAGACTTGAGCTACTGTGGGATGCTGCAGGTGTTGGGTTGGTGTGGGCCGCTAAGAAACTGCCAAGAGTTTAATGTGGAAAAGAAGGCAGGAGGGCTGAAATCCTACTTCCAACTGCAGGCTGCCTCTCCCAATACCCAGAGTAGCCATCTCTGGGGGGAGAAGGAAGCAGATAGTCCTGTTGTCTCTGAACTGCCCTGGAATGTGTGGAGGAGAGGCACATGTGCCCCAGCTCCATTTCCTAATGCTAAAGGTCTAGGCTAAAATCTTGAGAGAGAGCATTCAGCTGGGGGAAGGGGATTGGACAGCCTCAGGGTCATGGGGTGTCTCTCGCCATCTCCTGTCCAGGGCTATACAAATGAATCCTGTCTCCTCTTCCTGTAACAGCTGGACCCTTTCTATGCCTCCATCATCCTCTTTGTGGGTCGAGCATGGGATGCTATCACTGACCCCATGGTGGGTTTCTTCATCAGTAAAACCCCTTGGAGCCGCCTTGGACGCCTGATGCCCTGGTAAGGGAAGCTTGTTGGAACTGGGAATTTTTTGTCATGGCCTGAACTTGGGGTTCAGCAAGGACTATCCTGGAGCTCCTCAGAGGTAAAAGCAGCAAGGGACTTTCTGAATTGGCTTTAGGCTCCTGGGGGCCTCCTAGAGAGTGAGACTTGTCTTGGTTACCCTGTATGCGACTCTTGCTCTCCCCTGGAGGTCTCAGAGAAGGGTGGATGTTTTCCATGTGTTGCAGAGGGAACTTGCCCAAAGTTGCACAACGAGTCCAAGCTGGTACTAGATACATTCCATTCACCGTATGGAACAGACGCTTGGCCGTCAGCTGAGACTTAGTAATCTGGATGGCTGGGATGAGAACAAGCCCTGGAGACCAGCCAGGAAATTCTATTACCTGGTCCTTTCATAGTCTCCTGATGGGGGAGAAGGAAACCTTTCTGTGTGGGAATCGGTGAACCAAGCAATGGGTAGTTACAGGGGCCTTTCCCAGCATCGCTGCTAGTTCAGCCCCTGGGCTGGAGGTGCCTGGCTAGTTCTCAACCCACATGGGGCTGAGCATGAAACTCCTTGGAGAGGTGCAAGGACAAGGACTCGGCTGTAGCAAGGAAGGGCAAGTGGGGTGCTGGCCCTGGGTGCATCCTAATCAGGGGTACAAAGACACAGTAAGTAAAAATAATAAGCTGCAAAAGTAAAGAGCATGACATGTGCTAACCTAAGGAGAGGAAGCACATAATTCATGTTTTGCCTCAGGCACAAAAATACGTAGTTAAGGCACTGCAAAGACTGGCAGCAGTGCCAAGCTCTGTAGCCTTGCATGATAAGAGGCATTTCTGGTGGTGGCCATATGCAAGCGGGGAGTTCTGTGATAGATCTGCAGGGTGGCTTTTTTCCCAACCTTCCAGATCTGTTGTCACGGAGGCTGCCTGTTCTCCTGGAAGGGGTAGCCTGCATGCTCAGCTGGGTCTCGACATTAGCTCCTTGCTTATTTGTGTACTGGGGTAGTGCCCGGAGGTGACCCAGGACTCCATTTTGCCAGGTGCTGTATGAACATTGAGGCCAATGGGGCAGACAGGAATGGGCCTAGGAGGCAGATGGAGTTTTGTGAAGTAGGATTGCAGAGGGGAGGGAATAAGGCATGAGTATGTAGACTGGCATCTGAATTAGATGGAAGACCATTCCATGTTCCTTTGTCATCCTGCTGGGACCTGTTGCCCTGGGGGTGGGAAAAGGGCAAAATTCCTCTGTCTGACTTGTGTATTGAGACAGAGAGACTCTCTAGTTGGTGAGAAGTGTAAATGGCCCCTGCCCCTGACAGTTTCTCTTATCTCCACCTGCCTTGGTGGGAGGCCTTTTTCCCCAATGGGAGTAGCTTTGTAGGTTTCCCATTGCTCATGGCTGTTCGCTTTGCTAAGACCCATGTGTCTCATTCACACAGTATCTGAAAATCCATGGATGCTGCGGCTCCCAGTGCTGAATTGGCACTGGCCGTAGTGGGGGAGTCCCTGGGAAAATGTCTACTCAAGGACTGGTGGGTCGATCTTGCAGGCAGGCTGTGTTCTGTACTTCATTTTGGGTCCCCTTCTTCTGAGGAGCTTTTAGCTTTATATTCTTCCGCAGGGAGCTGGTTTGGCTTGGACGGATGGAGTTGGGGAGGAGTCAGTATATAAAGCAAAAGGTGGATGGAAAGTATATGTTCAAGCCAACTTCACTCTCACCCCGAACACAATGGGCTTCATTTTCCTCTACTTATACTTGTGTAAATCCATAGTCGCTCCACTGAAAGCAATGACTGAAGGTGATGTGAAAGGCTGCCCACTAGGCCCTCCTGTCCCAATGAGCAGAACTGTAGAGCTTTGCTCAGGTGCATGCGTTGCTGGGTGGTAAGGACCATATGAGCTTTGATGCTCTGTCCAGGCTGCTTTCCTGGAAAATCTGCCCCATGTTGGGAATGAAGCAGCTGTGCTGCTGGAAGGGGAGAGCCTTCTGTCTGCGGCGCAACATGTGGCATTGCAGTGTTATCCACACTCCCCATCTGGGGAAGGGGTGGGCATGCAATCGAGTCTGAGCACTGGTTACTTCTGCAGCCAGGGTTGGTGGGTTGCAGAAAGTCATGGGATTTACAGCTGATCGTGGGGGAGGGGGAACAGAAAGCAACTGGAGACAGGGCCTGAGTTGTCAGTTGCAATCCACGTGTTCTTTCTTAGCCATGTTCCCACTTGGCTCCTCTCTGAATTCCCCTTTGCAGAGTAGAGCTCTAGCGGGGCGGCCGACCCGACTTCTGCAGCCAGGGTTGGTGGGTTGCAGAAAGTCATGGGATTTACAGCTGATCGTGGGGGAGGGGGAACAGAAAGCAACTGGAGACAGGGCCTGAGTTGTCAGTTGCAATCCACGTGTTCTTTCTTAGCCATGTTCCCACTTGGCTCCTCTCTGAATTCCCCTTTGCAGAGTAGAGCTCTAGCGGGGCGGCCGACCCGCGGCTCTTTTCCCCCAAAAGTGCAGCTTGCAAAGCTGCTCCTGCGCTCACCGGGGCGGCGAGTTAAAATGGCGCCCC